AGTAGCAGCAGTAGTAGTGGTAGTCGCAGTAGCAGCAGCAGAAGCAGCAGCAGCAGCAACAGCAGCAGTGGCGCCGCCGTCGCTGACGTCGTAGTAGCAGTAGTCGTTGTGGCAGTCGTCGTCGTCGTCTCGTCGTTGTCGTCGTCGGTATCGTTGTAGTCGTCGTAGTAGTCGTAGTCGTCGTTGTCGTAGTCGTAGAAGTAGTAAGAGTAGGAGTAGTAGTAGCAGCAGTAAAAGCAGCAGTAGTAGTAGTACTACTACTAGTAGTAGTAGTAGTAGTAGTAGTAGTAGTAGGAGTAGGAGCAGGAGCAGGAGCAGGAGCAGCTGTTGTTGTTGTTGTTGCTGCTGTTGCGGTTGTTGTTGTTGTTGTTGTTGTTGTCGTCGTCGTCGTGGTTGTTGTTGTTGTTGCTGTTGTTGTTGTTGTTGTTGATGTTGTTGGAACATACAGGTACGTAGGTAGTAGGTACTAGGCCGTCTGTAGCAGGGAGTGGCAGTGGGCAGTCCGTAGAATGTAGTCAGCAGTCGGTCCTCAGTAGGTAGCTAAAACAACATCAGGTAGTGCTACAAAAAAGAACAGGAAGTGATTGATGTGTCACGAGAGAGGTGCATGCAAGAGGACCTGAGACATCATCTTCGCGCGCGAACTGGGGTCGCTATCACCTCTACAACTGGCTCGGTGCCGTGCTTCGGTCCGAGGCACATGCTGAAGGAAGTCCTGCCAACCCCAAACCCTATTCACCCCAAATGGCCTTCACATTTAAAGCCTCTTTAAAACCCCCAACTCCTCAAGGGTCCCACGGCTGTAAACGAACCCGGTGCAAGTCCTGCTGCTGGAAAAAGCTGTTAAGCTGGAGCCCGAAATCGCAGAATGTCGGGGGTTTGCGAAAATAGGGGACCCTTATAATATAGTACCCTCAATAGTAGGATCCCTATTTTCGAGACCTCGAAGTAAGGTACCCCTTATTTTCGGAAACTCCAATATGTGGGTAGAGCATCCTGATGCAGTGTAAGGCTCCATCGTGTGTTCTGCTGCGTACACCCATTACACATTGTACCCTCCCTGCAGTGCTTAGGGTTTAGGGCTTAAGGTTTACCGTCTAGGGTTTAGGGTTGAGGATTGACAAGTGATGTTTCCGTTGAAGTTTGTGGGGGTTTCTGCTTCAATCGGGAAGGCCTTGAAACATCCTGCTACTCTGTCCCTTAAAACCATGACAACCCCGAAGTCCAAAATCCTGAAGATTGCCCCAAAATGCTGACACCAAAACCCAAATCCCCACCTAAACCCTAAACCCTAAACCCTAAACCCTGAAGCATGGCTTTCGACACTGCGAGTCCTGGTCACCGGATCCATCCTTTCTGTCTGTGAGAAGCCTGCACGGTGTACGGGGATTAGGTTGTTAGGGTTCAGAGTTGGGCTTTAAGTGCAATGTAGAGGTCTTCATAATTAGAATAGGGTTTGGGGGTCCAGGCTGCTCAGGTCTGGGCACTATGAAACTTTTACGAACAACGATGAGCCTTCAGGCTTCGAGGTTTCAGGATTTGGGGCTGATAGGTTGTCGGTCCGTCTGAAGGTCCTTGGGTAGTTTTAAGTGTAGGGAAAGTGTGGCTAAGCACACCCTCTTTGACTGCACAAGTTACTGTAAGTAAATCTGCCTCAAGTCTACTGCTCCTGACGCTCGCAGTTCGTCTTGCTCGTACACTCGTACATACTTGCATCCAAAATGAAGAGCTTTGATAGTTCGGATGGGGCTTGGGGTGCATTGTACTAGAGTTAATGAAGGAACCCCAAGTAATAGCATTGCTAAGTATATCGACCCCTATGTCAAGGCAAGCAACCTCAGTGAAGAGTGGAAAAGACCTACGATGCATTCTAAGTCCCAAGAGCCTCTGAGTACTCCGGATTCCAACCAAGAAGAGCCACTGTTCGAAGACCCCATACTTTTTCCGTGCCAAGTACAGGGGTGTAGGCCCTAAGCCCTAAACCCTAAACCCTAAACCTTAGCCGTAGGGTTCCGGGCTGACCAGCGTTTCAATGGGCACCTACAGATCAGCGCAACAGGAGTTTCAACAAGCAGGGAGCTCAATCTGAACAGGGTTTAGGTTTCTAGGTTTTAGGGTTTAGGGTTTAGGGTTTAAGGTTTAGGGTTTAGGGTTTAGGGTTTAAGGTTTAGGGTTTAGGGTTTAGGGTTTCGGGAACTCAAGACAGGAACCGATGTTGAGGACGTCTGATCTTGAGCACAGGGGGTTTTGGAAAACCCTAACTCTTAAACTAATGCTAAACCCTAAACCCTAAACCCTAATCCTTAAACTGCGCAGTTTAGATGCCCGTTGCCTCCGACTTGTGGCACCGGTCACGAGAAGATGCGGCTGAGGGCCAAAAAATGCAGTCGGCGGACATGAAGATACCAGGGAGCTGATGTTTAGGAGCTGCAGTTGAGGGCCAGAGTTGACGGTTTAGGGTTTAGG